TCAGAAAAGAGATTGGTGAAGTTGCTAATAAGGGAATTTTTATCCTTAAAAGCAAATTCGTTTATTGTATCAAGATATTAGACTTATACATAAGGATTAGTTAAAGATTAAAAGAGATAATTAGTAGTTAGTTATTATATTATTAATTTTAAAAAAGAAGTAAGTAGATAAGGTTTTTTTATTAGTTATTATTTTAGATTAGTGGTAAAACTACTAAATATATGACTAATCCACAAAAAAAAAAAAAAAAAACAGAGATAATTGAAACTTGGACTAATTTAAAGAGCAAACTGAATAAATTAGTCTACTTAGACCAAAATAAAGGGCTAATTAAAGATGCTTTAGAGATTTACTTAAATCAGAGTTCTAGTTTTTTATCAGAATATAGTAATCCCGCTTATCAGGGCATGGGAGCTACTGAAGAAGACAAAAGAGTTTATCAAAACCAAAAAGTAAAAAATAAAAAGATAGTTGAAGAGTGTAAAGAATTGTTAAGTAAGTTGGAAGAATAGGTTTTATTGGATAAAATGCTTAGTGGTGTAGTTTTGTATAGCAAAAATAGTTATCTAATGAATATTTAAGTAAATGGTTATTAGGTAGGGGAGTTTGCGACTCCCCTTTTCTATTTGGATGTGATTTCTAAATAAGCAACAGTTTGTTTGGTTTTTTTAAATTCTATAATTCTTCTAATTTTACCTTGAGTTGCTCTTTCTAAATTAATAAATTTTGTCGGTAATTTAGTAAGTAATAACCTCAATTTGATTCTGTAATTGAGCAGCTTCTTCTAATCATTTCCTTATTTCAAGAGTACTTTCCAATAACATATCATCTAGTTTGCTTTCTATTTTATCTTCTATTTCTTTTTCCGATACTCCTTGTTGATACTCACTGACTGCCTCCTGTAAAATTTCCATTAATTTTTTTACTTCTTCTCGTTTAATAGTTCTTCTTTCTCATTCTTTTAATCATCATTTACTTTTAAGTGATACTTCTATAAGAGGTTTCATAGTTAAAATTTTGGGTAAATTAGTAATTCATCTAGTAATCCTTCTAACAGATAATCTATCATCACTTCACACTTTTAGCAAAAAACTTTCTTTTAAATTACCGTCATCATCTTTTTCTATAACTTCATTTATTGTTTTTTTTAAAGAATTAATCACTTCTTTTAACTTTCCTAAAGATTTAGGAGTGCGAATAGGTTTAAGTATTTCTGCTAATTTCAAATAATTATTACCGAGGGTTTCAGTATCTCTGTTAAGTTCATCTCACTTTTTTTGTCTTTCTCCAGTTTTGAATAATTTTTCCTTGCCGTAAGAAGCCAAGAATTCTATATAAAGAGAAGCTACCGCAACAGTCCCCCCTATTTTTTTATAAGTGGAGTTCTCGTTGGCTTCTCCGACTAAATAAGTGCTAGCACCTATTACTGAGATAATTCGGTTTGCATATTGCATGGTAGTGAAAGTTAGTTCATTATTAGGAGCGAATACTGCTTCAAATAGTTTTTCTTTGGTTCATTTTTGTTGATAAGAGTTGATGTTGCAGTGGATGGAATATAGGCAGTCGAGAGAAAAGAATTGAGATAGTTTTAGGGTGTCGGTCATAGTATTATTTTTTGGGAGAAATTTCGATATTGGATTGGAGTTTTTTTTTGTTATCATCATCTAAGTTTTGTTGAATTTGTTGCTGAAGTTTTTTTCGGTTCTCTTTATCTTTTTCATCAATAGAAAAACTTTCGATTTCTGTTATTCTGCGACCAATATCTCTTCCTTTTTTAATACCTTTCATATAACCTTTAAAGTAATTTTCTAGGCACTGTGCCTTGCACGAATTACAAATAATCTCTTGCGGTCTGCTCTTAAAATAATAAATTTCTTCATTTTCCTGAATGGATGAATTGCAAGCAATACAGGCAACGGTAACTAGGGGGAGACTAGAATTAAGATTTTCTTTGTCTACTTGCTTAAATTCCTCTTTAATATGTTTTTCATATTGTTTTTCATCCTGCAAATTTCTTAACCAATCACTTAATACTACACATTCCTTGTATGACTGATGAACAATTTGTATTTCATTATCGCTTACTTTTGTAGTTACCTTCCTTAACCTTCTTCCAAGTTCTTCTTTACTTAATAACTTTTGCCCTTCTACATCGTGAAGGAGATAGTTGATAGGATTGTCTCTTTCCATTCTCTTCTGTTCTTCTTGACTTAATTCTTTAAAAATATCTACATGAATGGTTAACAATAATTTTGTCTGTGCTTCTATTTTAATCTCCACAAGAATCTTTTCTAAATCCACTACTTCAAATTCATCGTTGCTTTTAATTATTTCTTTCGCTAAATCGAAATTGAACGATACCCCCAATTTACTTACAGCACTTATAACCTGATCTGAAAAAGGCACTCCATAGACACAAAGAGTAGCAAAATGTTGGCAGTTTTTTTTGAGGAAGCTATATTGCTCTTTGGCATGTTGGATAAAAATTGTTCTTAGAATATGCTCCACTATTTTCCTTGGTCTCTTAAAGGGAATAAGAGGACGATAACAGATTAAACTTCCTTGATTTCTACTCAGGAAATGTTTTCAGGTACTAATCTGTGCTCTCGTGCTTTCTCCGGCCGTAGAGTGAGAGTTGAGGGAACTAAATATTGGTTTTAAATAGGAACTAATGCTTTTCTCTTCCTGAAAGTTTTGCTGTAGTTTAACTATCTGGGTTTGCAATCATTCATCAGTTTCATGAAGTTCCCGAGTAATCGTTTTATCTTTTACCTTTGCCTGATATTCTTTTAAGACTGTAGGTTGCTATGTGAGCTACCTGACTATTACCCAAATAGATGGCAGCATGATAAGTAGTAATTGGGAGCAAAGGATTACCTATGTTTTCTCTTCAAATTATGTCTAAAGGTTTTAAATACTTATCAGGATTGCTTTTAGCATCCTTAGGTAATTTGGACTTTTCTATAATTTTGTCTATTTTAAAATCATCACTTTCCACTATGGCCAAAATAGGATTATCACTATTGAGCTTTTGTTTAATTTCCTCAACTTTTTTCTTAGTTTCTTCTAATGAATGGTGCTTTGTAAGCGGGGAAAATTTCAAGATTTCCTTTTTCTCTTTATTTTTATCAGAAGAAAACTCGTAAGTAACTAAATGTAAAGTATGCTGACTAGGTTCATTATTAGTAATAATTGCACAATTGGGATTAAATCAGGTAGAAAACATTTCTATATCTTCTTCCCGCACATTTAAATTTTCTTTACCTTTCAACTCTTTTACAATTAACTTTTTTAATTTATAACATTTTTGATTACCTTCTTGGAATATAGGAGAGATCTTAATTTTTTCTTCAATCTGTGGTAACAAAGAAAAAATAACCTTAGCACTTTCAGTGGCTTTTTCCCATTCAGTAGGAGGATAATTTCAAAAGTTTTTCTTGTTTCTTTTATCCAAGTAGTTTTTGTGTGCCTCCATTAATCCTTTTCATTTCTTTTTTCAAATCGGGGAACTAATATCTATTACTTCCTTTTCTAATTGCTCGACAATCTTTTGACACTTAGCACTTTCTTTTTGATATTAATGTAATTCTTCTAAATTAACTGGTAAATATTCTAAACCTCTGTCAATTTCAGTATTACTAATACTTAGCGATTTTAATTTAGTTAGACTTCTTAAGGGTTCTAAAGAACCACAAAAGCGGTTGTAAATATTACTTTTAATCTTTTTTTTGTTATAATTGCCAATGTTAACTTCCTCTAAATTAGAAAAGTTTTTTAAAAAAGTTAGATCTTGTTCAAAAAAATTGTTGTTTTCCAAGTTAATTTTTTTTAGTTTTTGTGGATTTAGTTGTTTAAAATTAATTTTGGTCAAAAGATTACTTCGGCAGTTAAGTTCAACAAATCCCCTATTATCGCCTAAAATTAATTCAGTTAATTGGTTATCACTTACATCTAAGACAATCAGTTTTTCTCCATTTTCCGGCAGAACAAGGCAAGTTAGTTGATTTCGAGAGCATTTCAGTTCCTTTAAACTAATAAATTCCTGAAGGTTAAGAGAACCTGATAGATTTCTTCAACCAACATCTAATTCAGTTATTTCATTTCTTCTTTTTTGGGGATAAAAATGGTCTAATCACAATTGAGCATTCTCGCTTAAATCAGCATGTTGCTGAGGAGTGTAACCATCATTTTTGAGTTGAAATACAAAATCAATATGTCAAGGTTTTAAGCCACCTATTTTTATTCACTTTTTTGCTTCTTCATAACTAAATCCTTTTGCTTCTCATTCTTGTTCGTAAATTTTGCCACTCTTTCAATTTTTTGCAACAAAATTAGGAGTGGATATCTTTCCAACTTTTTATGTTACTTGTTTTATCTTCATTTTCTGATTGACTATTCTTGTTCTCCAAATAATTTGTATACCCTTCCCTTAATTCTTGTTCATCGCTATAACTTAGTAATCATTCAGAGCTAACTCCTTTAACGCCCCTTAACCAAGAACAATAATCACTATCGCTAACTCCCAAACCTATGTCTATTCATTCTTTACATTCTTCATAACTAAAGCCTTTTGCTTCTCGCTCTTTTTGTAGTTCTTCCGTGAAATTTGTGTCTATTTCCTTTCAGTTTACCATATGCTTTTAATGTCTTTTGTTTTTCTTGCGAAATTTCGCAATTAGAAAGATACCGCAGGTTAAAGCAACTCCTACTATTCCACATCCAATATAAAGAATAACTTTATCAGCAGGTTTACTATTATTGATGTTAGAATTATTCTGTCTTTTTAATAACTCTTCTAACTCTTTCTTTTTGCTGGATAACAATACTTCTTCTAGAGAGTTTTTAGTAGCTTTAGTTTCTAAAATTTTGATTTCTTTCTGTAGGATAGTAATTTGAGTATCTAAAGGTAAAGGTTTAATTAGTTCTTTAGCTTTAGTCTCTAAGTCTTTTAATTGCTGTTTTTTAGAGTCTAATTCTTGACTATTAGAACTAGTAGGATTTTGTTCTAAATTCATGATTTGGGAGAGTAATTGTGATTGTTGAGACTGGATTTGCTCTCTCTCTCTCTCTCTCTCTCTCTTATATTTACGTTGTTATTTATATTACTCTTATTGCCTAAATTATCTATATCACCATTTGCTTGCGAATATTTATTAGGATATAATTCTTTATCTAATTTAAGTAAACAATTATCCTTATCACAAATTCTTAATGAGTATTTTAAGTTTCCTTCTTTTACTAGCTCAGTAGAGCAGAACTTACAAGAACGAACTTCTTGTTCTTCTCTTTTTTTTTGTTCTTGTTTTACTAATTGGTAGCAAGCACGGCAGTAGATGTCATCCCCATCCGGAATAACATTTAAGTATTTGGTAAAATTTTTATTCTCATTTACACACTTAGAACAATATTCACCATAGTATTCTTGATAGCAATTAGTAGAGCAGAATTTGTGATTGTCATTTTTAGTTTTGTGACATCAGCAATCTTCTCCGACCTTAATTTCCTTAAAACATTGTTGGCAATTAATATATTCCTTTTCATCTTTGGAAACTTCATCAAAAGTTAACTCAGAAAAAGTTTCATCATTATTTTCTCCCAAACTTGAATTTGGTTTTTTTGCACCTTTTTTACTTTTAGGTAGTTTATTTTTTACATATTTAAGTTGTTCGTATAACTTTTTGAAATGATTAAAACCATAAGGCTCACTAGGGTTAACCCCCTCAGGAACATTATAAACCAAATCGTAAACTCTATCGCATATTTTCCATACTTTTTCGGCTTCTTTAATCTGTTCTTCTGAATCAGTAATTTTCTCTATTCTTTTTAATTCCTTTTCTACTCAGGAAATGCCTTTGTAACTTTCATGAAGTATATTGCAATCTCCTTCCCTTAAAATTCTTTTGTATTGTTCTTTGTCCATGTTCGTAACAATTATTTTTTATGCTATATTAATAATTTAAGCAAAAAAAGAACTCTATGCCAACTGGATATTTTGAAAATTTATCTCTTCTTATCTTCCCTCAGAAATAAAAAGTAAATAATTAGTATTAGTATCGCTCCTGCTAATAATTTATCATAAGCACTTAGTTTAGGTAAAGACAAGCCTAATGGTGCTGAAGGTGCTGGTGGAGTTTTAGTTTTTTCTTCAATCTGTTTATCTCTTTCTTTATTTTTGTCTCTTAACTTTCTATTTTCAGTTTCTAATAAAACTATTCTTTTACGAGCTCTTTCTTTCTCTTCATCACTTCTGTTAGGGTCATCAATAACAGTTTTTAATCTTCTGATTTCTTCATTGTTTTTTTTTGCGTGTTCTTCATCTTTTTCTCTATCCTTTCGTAGTCTTTCTACTTCTTCCTGATTTGCTTTCATCTGAGTTTTTCATTGCTCGTTTTGGATTTCTCATTGCTTTAGTTTATTATCAGTATCGTTGCCATCATCACCACTACCACCAAGGACATTTCCAACTAGTCCTCGGGCAGTAGGGCTTAAAACCATACTCGCTCCAAAAGTAGGAGCGGCTAGTAAAGCACCAGTAATATCGCCAACGGCGTCTCAGAATCCATATTTTTTCTTTGCCATATTTATTTGTTAGTTATTTGTAATTTAAGTTTACTTAATTGTTGAGTAATGTTTTGTAATTGTTTATGGTAGGTCTTGATTTCTTTGGTTCATAGGGTAAGGGTAGATTGGGTTTGGGTGATTAAATTTTCAATTGTTTTTATTTTTTCTTGTTGTTTCTTATTCATATTTTCTTAGTTGTCAATTTTTTTACATATTTCTCCTAAAGTTATTGATAGTTTGCTAATATTTTGATTAAACTCTCCTATATACTGGTTCCTTTGCAATGACATTTCTTCTTTAGTTTGTTTCAACTGTTCTGTTAATTCCTTTAAACGCACATCAATGGATTCAGTAATGCTTGGCATGATTTCTTCGGTGGTGGGTTTTTTAGGTTTCTCATACTTTCCATAGAAGTGCGGTAATTGTTTACTGTCAAATAATTTTCAGAAAAATTCTAACATTTCTCCGATTTTGATGCCAGGTTGAGTTGGTTTCTCTTTAGTAGCACTTTCCTTTTTAACTTCCGGCAACTGTTTTAAAGTTTCGGGATGAGAAATAAATTTTCTTCAAAAAGGAAGAAACTCATCCTTAAAACTCATGGAGTTAAAGCGATTAACTCATTTATTATCTTCTTCATTTAGAGTATCTGTCTCTTGTCAGCGTTGAGGAAATTGATTAGCAATGCCGACTCTACCAGTCTCTTGTTTAAAATCCCCTAAGGTTCAACTGAAATCTAAGGGATTGCTTAATCGACCTGGACGATAAACAGGAGGATCTATGAGATAAAGGTAATTAGTGGCAAATATTCAAAGGTTTTTGCTTTGAGCATCTTTACTAATTCCTTCCATACATGACTTTAAGAATATTAATTTAGTGTATTCTATGATAGCATTATGTGTGCTGATATTATCTGCTTCATCTACAAAAAGGATATAACGAACTTCATTATTAGCAACATCTTTTGAAAATCCATAATCGTCTTCTAATACGTTTTCTATATCACAAAGAGTAAAGATAAATTTGTTTAAAGGATCAATTCCTATCTCATTATCTTCCTTGCGTGGAGTTAAGTTTGAACCTTTTATCTCAATGAGAGGATATATATCGGACTCATAAGCCAATTTTCTCACTATAGAAGTTTTTCCAGTTCCGCCTGTTCCGTAGAATAAAGCATTATTATCTTTTTCAGTAACTGGATCTGGTTCACCACGTGTTGGATTAATAACTACTTTCTCATATCAGTCTTCAATCAAATTATTTCATCTAAAATTTTTGGTTTTTTCGTCTAATTCTAACTCTCCATGACCTTTGTTTTTGGCTAATGTTCTTTGTTCTTCAGTCAGATCATTTCACAGTGAGGGAGGAAAATGGATAGTATAATCAGCCGCTACATCAAAAATAGTAACATTTTCTTCCCCGCCCATTTCATTAAGGGTCTTTTCAAAACTATCTTTTTTACGAACTAGCCAATTTTCATTTCAACTCTTTTTTTCTCTTTGTCTCCGCCAATGAAACTTCTTCTTCTTAATCATTTCTAACTCCTTTTGTTGCTTTTTTTTTCCTTCTTCAGTTCTCGCTTGCTGATTTTGGTCAGCGAGATGCTTTTCAGCTTGAATTAGTCAGTTGATGGCTTTGGTTAGGTCTTCTTTGGTGTTTTCCAAAGCCGCTTGCTGAATTGGATTGTCTTCTCTTTCTCACTTTAGATAGTTTTGGCAAGTAGTGAGTAAAGCAGAGTAATCTTTAGGTTGAGCAGTGGATACTTGTTTAATGGTTGCTTGAATAGTCATTTCTAATTGTTGTCTTTGTTGTTCTGGTAAGTAAACTAAGAAGTAAAAACCAACTCCTATAATAATGGTTAGAACTACATATTTTAGTTGTTGTTCTCGTTCTTTTTTTAGTTCTTTACCGAGGAGATTGATCATGTTATTTTCTTAGTCTGCTTAAAAACTCGACTCTTTTTAGGATTCTTTCTTCGGCTAGGGCTTCTATTCTCTTGCATTCAGTGTCGGTTAGTTCTCTTGGCTCTGGTTTTTCTTTTTTAGTTAGTTGGTAAATAGCAAAAAGGAGAAAGAGGATTAGAGCCGTTAAAATTAGACCTCTTTGTCAGGATTCTAAATTAGTGTAAAGAGGAGCAATAGTCGCTTCGATTTGCTCGGTAGTTTCACCAAGTTTATTTTTAATTTCGGCTGAGTTAGTCATAAGTTTTAGAAGTCGTAATAGTTAGGTTCTGGTTTCTCTTTTTGGTTTAGGAGATAGAAGATTATTAGGAGACCTAGACCGGCAATCATGATTAGTTGCTGGTTGTTTTGGAAGAAGTTTTGGTTAGCACTAGTGTTAGGTTTAAATGGATCTAGGGGATTAGGAGTGTTTGGGCTTGTTGAACCGCCCGGAAGATTAACATTATTAGGACTGGTGGGTTGTTTTTTCCTCCTTGGAGGCTTATTATCCAACTTGTCTTTTATCGCTTGCATAAAGTCATTAATGTGCTTATCAGGACTAAAATTGTCTCCTAAATTAGATGATTTAAGTTGTTTCTTCTTTTCTAAAACTTTTTTTCATTTATTCTTGGCTTCAGTAGCAAGAAGCACAAACTTCTTCTTTTTTTCTGGGTCAGTTTCACCTCGAGCTTTTCTTTCATTTTCTTCTATCTCTTTTTGTAATTTTCTTTCTTCTTGATTTAATTTCTGTAATTCCTTGGCTTCACTATAAGCAACTCTCTCAATGTCAACTTTTAAGGCTTCCACCTCTCGACGGAAATCATCTATTATCATGTCAAGATAACTAGCAAAATCATCTCAGATAATACAGACACCGCCTACAGAACTATTACCGCCCGTTTTCATTTGCAGACCACTAAGTGCTTGATTAACTTTGTTAAGGAGACTTTGTTTATTATTTTCAAACTCCTCTTGATTATTGAAAGTTGTTAACTTTACTTTGGCATTTTTCAATTCTGTAACATCATCAAAGAATCTAGCAAGAGTTTGACAATCTTCTTTCAAGTTGTGGGCTAAACCTCATTCACAGCGACCGCCATCTCAGTAACCAGCATCTCTCTTATAACGATCATCGCCTCTTTGTTTCTGACTTATTCGCAAAGAAGCGGCATTGGTGAATAGTTCCTCGATTGTTTTTGCATTATGTGTCATATTTTCTTCTATTTCTAAATAAGGTATATATAAGGGTAAGGGGTATTATAGGTAATAAAGGGCGGGGGTAAAATAAAGTAAATAAAATCTAATCAATTGGATAACAATTTCTAATTCACAAAGCCTGTGGGTCATGATCATCATATCAAAAGATTAAACGATATTCTTTTGTTTCACAAGGTGTTCATTCTCAGATATAAATGTCTCGCTGACCGTGTCTTTTTCTAGACTTTAAATCTTCACCATCTAATCTTTTTACTACTGATTTAATGATATTTCTAGTAATACCATGCTTTAAATGCTTACGATAATAATCAGTGATAGTGTATTTAGTTATTAAACGACCATTAAAAGTCAGATGACAATTATACTCTCAGGTTTTTTCTTGCTTTAACACCATTTTTTAAACTAAGGCGGGGATTGGAATGAGGAATGTTTGCTTTACTTTTGGCTTGGATTACTTTTACCTCTAAGGGTTCAAAGATTTGACTAGCATAAGTCATTAAGCGGTCAAGAGTAAAGTAAGGAATGCGACAAAAGAGAATATCCTCAGTTTCAGCCTGAGTTAAATTGATTCTTTTAGCAATTTCTTTATCCGATAAATGATTTTCTCTTTGATAGCGAAGAATATTTTGGCAAATATTGTATTTAGTCTTTTCTAAAGGAGTGGCATCAGCCGGTAAAGCTCAAGAGCCAATTCCAATAGTTTTAGGGTCTTCTAATTCTTGGAGGATTCTTTCAAAGTCTTTTTCTGATTTAGTTTTACCACTGACTGGACTTGTTTTTCTTTTTTTTAGGGTTGGTTTGATTTTAGTCATAATAGTAGATTAGGATCGGGTATAAATTAGTTTTACTAAGT